GCGCCAGGCCTTCCTGTCCTTCACTGCCTCCCTGAGTTTGCTCAGTTTCATGCTCAGTTCTGTGACAGTTCTCAGTTCTGTGACAACAGTTACTCAGGGCTGCGTATTCATCCCTCTTAGAATATATTCGACCACAAACCAGCCAAGCCCATTTTCTCCCAGACAGCTGGATGTACCCAGCCTGCATGGTTCGTTTAGGGCTCGGTGTCCCTTGCGAATATTGGGTTAATTGCATTAATGGAAACGCAGACGCTGATTCCATTTCATATTGGAGATCTTCCCAAAATGTACTCAACCCGGTTTGCAAACCCAGTACCTGGGTGGAAGGCGGACTGCGTATCAACCAGTTAGACTAGCCGGGTTCACCCAAAGTGCTGAACCCCATCTGGATTCCCACAACCTTTTAACTACAAATGAACTTGCTCCATTTTAGCCTGAGTGCGTTGTGGGAAGGCCACCTTTTTGAGCCAAGCGTCCATGGCTTTAGGTCCTCCTTGATCTCAACTGCCAAGGTTCTTTTTAAAGACTTCATAAACCTCCAAACATCTCCCCAGTTCAATTTTCAGTGCGGCGCCTATCTTTGGGAAAAGATCTCAGCCGTTAACTGGTTATTTTTGCACTGACTGATTTCTGCAAACATCATGTGGTCGACTGTTGTGTTCTGGCCTCTATCTTTTCCTGCGCAAACCTCTAACGGTCGGTGGGAGCGGATGGCCCAAAGTCACCCTGGGACTTTCTGTTCGCTTTAGGATCAGATGAGAAGCCGGGGAGAGCAGGGTAACGAGAGGCGGGTGCTGAGTCAACTCAGCCCTACACTCTGGGAAGGCTTGCGAGCGAAGGTGGACTCCCCCGTTGCTGAGTCTGCTGAGTGAGCACAGCCACCAAAGACGAGGTTTTCGTTTTCGTCTTTCTCCTGTTTTTAGAGGGGGTTGTGTGCAGGGGCTTCCAGCAGTCATGGGTCAAGGGATGAAAGAATTCGAAGCGATGCAACCCCCAGGCAGGTTTAGCCAAGGTAAAGACTTCCTAAACTGGAGCTACGCATCTATGAAGTTTTCTTGGCAGCGGGGCACAGCCCTTTGCTGGTGTTTTTTCAACTTCCCAGGCTAGCCTACAGTCATGGGATTTCCTGGTGGTCTCCCATCCAAAGCCTGAGCAGGTTCCCCCTTGTGTAGCTTCTCCAGGTCAGCTGAAGTCAGCGGCACAGAGAACAAAAATGGGCAGAGTTTTCAATTGCAACACTGCCGTCTTGACTTTTTGGATCCCACCCTGCAGATACCCCGTGGCCCAAGGCCACTGGGAAGATCCGGGAGTCGCAGGTTCTTTAGGCCTAATCCAGAACTCAGTATGTGTCACCCAAAGTAGGAGAGATGGTTAACTTAGTTAAAAAGCCATCACGGGGGCTTTCACCCCCTTTCCCCCGCTCTAAAGGTGTTTGCTTAGAAGCAAAACAATCAACTTGGTTTTTAGGGCTTCTTCCCAAATTAAGATTATTTAGGCAGCCAGATACTTCATTCTTTTGTTCCAGGAAAGTTATGTTGAAGGTAAACATGCCAGTAAGAAACAAGCATTTGAAACTGGAAGTCTTTCTAGCTGGGTATAATAGAGGAAGGCGAGTGCAAAGCTTCACTGACTGCGCTTTGCCTCCTGCAAATTGAAAATTGTGAACTCTGCTTTTTTGGAAACCGTCTCCTGCGTGGCGAGGCCCGAGTCCTTCCTCGGCTTTGCAAAGGCTCAGGAAGCACACCTTTTAAAACCAGCTCTACTTCTTGCTGTTCATTATTTTTCATACCTGTTTCCAGTTTTGATCTCATGACTTACTGTAAGCCACAGGGGGACCTCAGTCCTCAGCGGCCCCATGTATGAAAAACCATGGTTTATAGTTACAGCATGGGGCGGGATCTCAGCTACTTGTGGCTTAGTCAGTAAGCCATGGTCTCGCACCGGGGTGAACCAGGTCCCAGTCTCCTAAAGCTTCCATTTGTCTTCCTTGGAAAAGGCCCAGATCCCTGGCAAATTATCTTTCCCAGAAACATCCCCTTTTGTCTGGGGGTGGACGGTGCTTGAAATGGCCTGCTTTGTTCATAAGCCAAAGTTACATTCAAAGGGATTTTTGACTTGGTTGGGAAAACCGTCGTCATCTTTCAAATCTCCATCCTGGAAGAGAACCACTTCTTTACGGTAGATGTGGATTACACTTTTTCCTACACCCTGGTAAAATGCACGCCCATACAGACAGGACTGCCACAACGACTGGTAGCGCGCACAAGGACGTCGCCTGCGTGGCAATGTCATAGCTCAGATCGCGTCATTGGCATCGCTCATGAAGTCACCTGCACTGTTTGCGCGCTGATCTCATCGCCTGCGCGATGACCCCCTTGCCTTTCCGTGCCCTGCCCACCGAGTCCTGTGGTTCTTAGGGACGTCCAGTTGTAAGTAAATTTAAATTAATTAATTAATTAATTAAAAGCCAGATTTGTAAGTCACTGTACAGGCTCTGTTTTTACTGGGCCGTGAAACCACTGGTGAAGCAGGAGGCCATACTGAAGACTCGGGGTTTGAAATGCAAAGGTTTGTTTATTTCAGGAAGGGCGCAGCACCGTCACCAAGGCATTAGCTGTGAGCCAGACGTACGAAAATACGCACAGATGTTGTGGTTACACGGTTTAAGAGGCTTGCAGATTTTCATTCACAGGAAGAACAGTGTTATTCCTGCGTGCAGAGCGATTTCGACACTGGGGCACCATAAAGCGTTGGAGGGGATCTAAAAGGGCATCTACGCCAACCCTCTTCCCCAGTGTTTCTCAACCTTGGCAGCTCGAAGAGGCGTGGGATTCAACTCCCAGAACTCGCCAGCCAGGAAAATGGGCGTGGTGTTGCAGTATAAATGGACCCACAGTTTTGCAAACAAGAAAAGAGCTGGCAGAAATCTGGGGGTTGCGGGGGGGGGACCAATATCTGGTCCAGGAATTGACAAGGGTTATTCTATTTTGTGCCAGTCAAAAGGCCAGCGGTATAACATGCCTAATGCACCTGATCAAATTGCACCTCTCTCAAGACTTTCTGTATTGCAAACTGTTCTTTATCAGGCGTCTGGAAAGCGCAGGAAAGCAAAAAGGAGACGCTTGAAAAGTTGCAAGGGATTTTTCTCTCGTCATCAGCTTTCACCCCATCGTCTCTTGGATCCAAGGAAGGTAGGCGGCAACGCGAGTGTATATCGAAGGAGGGATCTGGAAACCGTAGGAGACGATGCCGTGGGCCACCCCGTTGCAGACCAAGGCACTCCCAGAATCCCCCTGGCAACACGTGGAAAAGAGAATAAGGAACATCATTAAAGTCAGACAAAGCGAATTGATTTTTAATCGAGTTTTCCTTTGGGATCTCTTTCTGTCTCAGTGTTTCCTCTTTCAAAGATGTCTAAAAGTGATCAGAGATACCAGGAGGGGGTCTGCAGGGTGGGTTTGTATCAAAAGATCGAAGCAATGCAAATGCCCCATGTTTTACATCTTTGGTTCTAAAGCAGAGTTTCTCAACCTTGGCAACTTGAAGATGTGAACTTCAACTCTCAGAATTGCCCCAGCCAGCATTTGCAGACTTCAACTCCCAGAATTCCCCAGCCAGCATGCTGGCTAGAGAATTCTGGGAGTTGAAGTCCCCACATGTTCAAGTTGCCAAAATTGAGAAACACTGTCCTAAACTATAATACAGACATTCAGTGACTGGAGGTTGGGTGAATGGAGTGGGATGTTAAGCACTTTCACAAAATGTCTGTCACGGTGGGTGTGGCCTACTGTTTACGGAGTAGTTACTGGCAGTGGCAGGCTGGGCTCACCATCTTCAAGGATGTTCTCTGCACCTCACATGGGTATCACTGGAGGGGGCAGGGTGGGACAGATAATGGAATGAGCGTTGTGACGTCATGAGGCAAGCCCCGCCCCTTTTGCAAATGGACTTGTGACGCCGCAGGCAAGTGTATCGGGGCGGGGCTTGCCTCATGATGTCATGACGGCTGCGATGTCATTTGGATCAGATTCAGCAACCTCTGGGACCCCTCAATTTTTTTGTGGGTGAGTGGCCACCGTTCCAAATCGAGGGGCAGCTTGAAAAAAAAAATCCGCCAGCCCTTTGAGGTAGGCCAGGTCAGGAAGCAGGCACCACAGGTAATATTCGAACTCTTCTGTATTGATAAAGGCTTTAATAAAGAAATCTTGAAAGCCTGACAGTGTTTCCCTTCCCTCCCTCTTAGGCCAAAGAAAGTCAAGATGGGAAAATCTTGAGCTTCTTTCTCACACTTGGGAGTTTTCCTCGCGTTTTCCAAATGTTTGCTGCCTATTTTCTTCAAAGCCATCTCTGTCCTCTTCCACATCGCTCCCAAATGCTTGTGGGGTTGATGCAGAAGCACTCTCAGAAATAAAAACTGCCCTCGGGGATGGCATTTGCAAAGTGGCATGCCAGTTTCTCATTTTTTTAAAATTCAAAGAATCTGAATAAAGTGCATCCCTGTAAATAGAACTATATGGTATGTGGCTTCCGTGATGACCACACTGGAATCCAGATGTTGATGCAGAACACTGTTTTTCAAACTTGGCAACTTTAAGATGTGTGGATTTCAACTCCCAGAATTCCCCAGCCAGCTTTGAGGTTGGAGTCCACAAATGCTGGCTGGGGAATTCTGGGAGCTGAAGTCCACAAATGCTGGCTGGGGAATTCTGGGAGCTGAAGTCCACAAATGCTGGCTGCGGAAATCTGGGAGTTGGTCCACACATCTTAAAGTTGCTAAGTTTGAAAAACACTGATGTAGACTCTTGCCCCTTTCCACTGCCTTTAAAAAGCGCCAGGAACAGAAATGTCCGTGATCGCTCAACAAAGAAGAAAGGTATGCTCTTATCGCGAAAAAAGAAGAAGGACAAAGGGGGTGGCACTCACATTACTGACGTCGCAGAGGACGGACCGGCGGCCAGCACACAGCATCCCGTCGGTAAGCTCCGGGTCAAACTGGAGACACTTTCTGCGTCCGAGGGCGGTCACGTTGGTCTCAAACAGCTTCGGAGTGGGGTTGTATGTCGCATCGATCCGGCCCCATCCCGCCACAAAGCATTTGGTGTTCTTGGGAAGGTCGTCCATGGTCTTTGGAACAGGAATCACTTGGACGTACTCGTTCAGTTCGGCTTCGCGTCGCAGCTTCCGTAAAAAACAAAGGATGGGGAATATTCCAGCTGAATTTAAGCTGGTCTACCTTTCGCTCCTATCGTAATATACTGGCTGATAAGCCGAGAACTTTAGGTTCCCAGTACACCCCCAAAATTGGGTTCGGCTTATCCGCGATGGGCTTATCCCCAAGTGTATAGGTATACGTTTTAAAAATACCATTGCGCTCACGGATAACCCCATCCACGGATCAGGCGACCCTCTAAATTTTCACATTCTTTCAATATATTCTTAACCACTTTGTTTTCATATTTGGCATCGATCAGGGCTGTGTTCCGGAAAAGATTCTGTTTGAAATGTTCACGATTGGCTTATCCCAGGTGGTGCATTTTCATTTTTCATGGCACTGTGGTTAAAAATGTGAGGGTCGGCTGATCGGTGGATGGGCTTATCCATAAGTATTTTATTTATTTTTATTTATTTATATTTCAAATTTAGATACTGCCCCTCTCACAAAAAGCGACTCTAGGCGATTCACAATAAAACAGCAATAAATATTAAAATACAATAAATAGACTCTTAAATTAAAATAGTCTTTCCAGCATGCCACAGAAACATACAAGAGTATCACATAGGGCAGGGTTTTTCAAACTTGGCGACTTTAAGATGTGTGGACTTCAACTCCCAGAATTCCCCAGCCAGCATTTGTGGACTTCAGCTCCCAGAATTCCCCAGCCAGCATTTGTGGACTTCAGCTCCCAGAATTCCCCAGCCAGCATTTGTGGACTTCAGCTCCCAGAATTTCCCCGCCCACACTT